TGGGGGGGGGGGGGGGGTGAAAAAAGTTGCGATGTTTGAATGGGACATATATTATTTGTAGTCAAATTCACTTGAAACTTGGTCTTAATGCTCTTTCATTTAATTTGTGAAACACCCATCTCGGCATTTAAAACCTCCAAAGGAGGAAGGGGGTAAAATTACTTGAAACATGGTTTTTATGCTCTTTGATATTATTGTGGCGGACAATTGTATATATTTTTTGTAGATATTTCTTAAGCATTCTTTTTTATTATTTTACTTCAAATTCATTTCATTTCAAATATTATTTCATTTCAATTTCTTATCTTGTAAATACCTTGGTTTCCTTTCAATCTAAACTCTATTGTTCTTTCAATCACTTTTACCCAGAATTCCAACTTCAACCATACCTGCATGCGCTCCTATACTAATATCTGGTTTTACCCTTAATTGCTTTCTCTTGAACTCTATACTGCTTAATTCTACGTATTCCTACAAACTAGTATTTCACCCTCTCTCTCACTACTTTTCCTTCTAGAACCTTCTATCAAATCTACTAACAACCCAACCCTGTTCTATAAATACTCCCAAAAATTCTTATCTTTACACCGAGCGGCATGGCCTAGAGGTCTAGACCATTGCTTAGCATTCGGGAGGACGCCGGTTCGATTCCGGGTCCGTCTGCCTTCGTCCAAGTTTTTCTGTGGTTTCCTTGGAGCACTCAGGCAAATGCCGGGGCAGTAATATTCCAGGGATAATCTTTCATTCTCTTCTGTCTTCACTTTGTCCATCTCAACTTTCTCACCCGAACCACCACCCACTCATTCCCACGATTCCTGAAAGCAGGCTGAAGAGGGCCTTCCGTCCTACCTTCCGGCATAATCCGGAGGGACTGCCCGCCAACCGCATCACTGGCTGGTGGGAAAGAAACACCCAAATTTTTTTTTTCTTATCTTTACACAGTCTCTCGTCTACCGCTATCACCACCATTCGTAAGTGCTTTTATCAACTCTGTTTTATTGTTGTTGTCTTTGTTATTGTTGTATTATCTTGTTCTTTTTGTCACTTTATTCTCGTTTGTTTGTTTCACTCCTTGTGCCTTTTTGTTAGTTGTGTTTTCGTTCTTATTGTTATAAATTGTTATTCGTTATTATTAGTGTTTTTTTTTATATCCACCAAAAGACACTAAATTATTAATCAAATGAAAAGAGGTTGCAACGTTTCCATGGGGTATATTTTATTCGTAGTCGGATTTACTCATTGTTGAAATTAAGCAAATACAATTTTTAAAAATCAACCTTTAAGAATGCAATGTTGTTGCTACGTTTATATTTGAAATTTAAAATGGATACATTACATTAAATTAAAACTTTGTAGGGATGAATTAGGAGTTAAAAGTTTTATGGAGAAACAATATTAATTTCTGCGGGCAAAGCTAGTGATAAATAAATTTTAATATACTAAATACACGTAATGGTTCCCAATCCATTTATAAACAAAATTATAGTATTAAACTAATATTATAAGCTGTTTTACACTTTTAAAGATAACTATTTTTCGAATGAGTTTATTATGTTACCACCTTTAGGGGTTTTAAACTTTTTAAATAATTTTGAATTGTAAAGCAAGCAACACAAATTTTTCGCTCAAAAGAATGAAAATTGAAGGTTTATTTTCCACCACTTAATGAGAACGTAAATAAAATATGAACTTGGAATACTAGAGCTTCTTCCTCTGAAAAAGTTCACCACTCGTCCTAGCGAAACGTTAGGAACTAACGACGGTCTTTAACCCGAACCAGAACAGCATCAGTTCACCTACTGGCCGCTAAAGCCTATACCAACACGTTGAAATACTAGAACTGGTATAATTTTTTATAAAGCACCAAGAGCTTTCAAATTGGCTTTCCAAAAAGAACTTGGCATCACTTTCGATCTGAATTATTTTTATTGTATAATTCCCTAAGGAATTTGGCCCATATTTCAACTGGATGAAGGTACTACATTTGCCAAGATGACATATTTTACGCCAAATAAATATGTGAACTTAGATATTGGGTATCACATTACAAGTACATTTATCTTTCCTCACGATTTATTATGCTGCAGCATCGTGTAATAAACGTAAAATATAATTACGTATAAATGAGGTAATTACGAACCGTATTAAGTGACTAACAATAATAAACTTACGA